ACTTAAAAGAAAGAAAATTAGACCATTTCATTTGGGATTAGAAATGTCTCTTAAATGTAAGTATTTTTATATCATTACTAACTCTTTTTGATTTAGCATCTGTCGGAATCTAGAAACTGATTGCCAAAAGGTAGATGATATTTTCTGGTATTGGAACATTAATTGTGTTTACATCAAAGGTGTATACAGTGTTAATATTCTCTATCTTGATTAGATAATATTAAAAAAAAAAACAATGCTTGGTGCTTGTATGTATCATAAGGATGTATCTTGGAGTCTCAGTAGATCAACGTAGATGAGAGGATTTTCGAGTAGTTTCCTTGCATCTTGCATCTTGAATGTTTATGTTTTGTGTTATGCTCTAAACCCTACTTGATCATTCTAAGCATGTGAAATGACAATGTTCTGAATTCTGCATCATATGCTGATGATTACTGTGTTTACATTCTATAAATTGTACCAGCTAAATTGAGTTGTTACAATAACAGTGATTGAAATATGTCTGTTACGGCACTAATGCCTATCCCTTGGTCTACTTGTTTTACGGAGTTGATGAAGCTTGGAAATCACTGGTGTAGTTGTTAGAATGTGCAATTGATCTTTCTTCATTCTATGGTTGATGTCAAAATCAAGAAATTAGCAGTAGCTAATGCCCACTTGTAGGCATGTGGTATAGGTGCTATGATGATCTTCTCTTATTTTTAGGTCGACTAAATGTGTTACATGTTCGGTTATACTAAGTGTAGTTTTCTATAATAGGTGGTACGTAGACTTGGAAGTTCTTGACTCGATATTAAGAATGCAAGATGTTTATGTACATAATCTCGTTTTCTGTCTGTTATTAGGGAACTAAATCTAGTTTTCTGTACATCTTGAGTAATGTTTTCTGAAGTTTTCTAGCTTTATGTTAGATTATAATTAAATCTGTGTTAGATGAACACAGTTTCTTGCATTTTGGTTGGTTATACTATCGTATGTTGTTCATTTCTTGTTAAGAACGATTGTGATCTTGGCTTTCCTGGTACCAGAGAGGATTCTACTATCTTAACTTTTGATTTTTGATTCTTGGAATAGTTAGTGTTGCAAAATGATTATGCTTTTTTGGGAAAAGATTTGTTCTTGTTTGTTTATCCCAAATTATACATCATTAAGGTTGGTTGATAGATATGTTTTCATATGGAATAGTAGTATGCTTTGATTGAATCCATGCGATTTGAATCTTTTCTGTGGTACTATGCTTTGATTATATCCATGCGACTGAATCCATGGCATATTCCTTCCGTTTCATAATGTTAGATGTCTTACATTTTTCTGTACGTATTATTTTTTTTGGTAACACCTAATAATATATATTTTCAAAAAAAAAAACCTAATAATATATACTTGTTTAATTTATTATATCTATAAATATAGAATAAGAAATGCAAATATATAATAAATTTTTTTGTTGGGAGATGATTTTTTATATATAAAAAATATCTAGTATTATGAAATGGAGGATAGTGTTTTACATGATTGAAGGGCTAAACCCATAACTTAAACACTAATATTAAGCTAATTAAATCAAGCCAAATTTGTTTTTACAAAGAGGCATTTGCCTTAGGCCACATCTCATCTAGATATTTTTACAGCCACAATTTCATGAAAATTATTAGTTTAATTAATCAATGTTTCCATTGTTCAATATAACTAAATTTGAATATATATTTGATTTCTTTTTAGACAATTATTAGTTGTGTGATCTACATATATATAGATCCAATTTAACATTTCCATTATGTACGATGTGATTTTTTGTTTTCAGTGAGATCTTTTTTTGTTTAAAGCATGCATATTTTACACCAGATTTTTATCCGCTTATTGCGGGTACTTATTTACTATTTTAATTAAAAATTTATATATTTATATTACTAATATATATATATATTAAATTAATGTTATTGTGTATTATATTTATCTTTTATTTTTAAGTGTTTTTGTTGCCCTAATATATATATATATAGTAAATTATTTTTCTAATATAAACTATGATGTATTAATTGTTAAAAAAATATTTTATATATTTATACATTGCAATATATATTATTTGTGTTTTTTTGTTTTCAATGATTTTTCTTACGATTTTCAAAAAGTCTAATTCATTTTTCTATATTTTTTCTTCTTTCTTATCTCTGTCTCGCTATTCTGATTATAATCTACTGAGTTTTTTCATACAACTTTCATCTCATTCAGTTCTGTGATCAGTTATAATTCTTCCTTATAAGATGGAACAATGTTTCTGTCAGTTGATGGTTCAACTTGATGGAACTAGAAGAAGAAACTTGAAGCATGGAGAGAGTTAAGAGTGAGAAGAGACAGAGAGAGTTATCATCTTGGGATCTTGGGTTCTTCTTTTATATTCGATTCCTCTTCCTTGTATATCCGATTAGGTTGTAATCGGTGGTGAGTGCTTTTCATGTAAAATCTGCCGGAGGTGTATTCCGATGACATCAATCCAAATTAGGGATCACGAGATCCTAATCGGACGTAGCAGTTAGTTAACACGGTGAACCGGATCTACAATTGTTCGTGTTTTTGATTCGTGAGTTCGTCAAATTCGATCGTGAAAGAGATTGAATGGATTCAATTCTTCAACAAGTGGTAGCAGAGCGTCAGGTTGTGACGTTTCACTGATCCGACAGGGAAATTGAGTTCAAGATAGAAGCGGTTGGTTCTTCGTAGGTGTTATGCAGAATTGAGGAGAGGAAAGTTCAGTTTGTGAATATCAAAGGAGTCTGAAAGGTGGAAGAAGGAAGAAGGCAATGTCGATGCCTTGACGGTTGAAGAAAGCAAACTTGCGATGAAAAAATTCATCGGATGAAGATGATTTCAAGAATGTAAGCATAGAGCCGTAAGTTAATCTCTCTAGTCTCAGTGATTAAGCGACTATGTTATTGCGAGAAGAAAAGAAGAACTTGCAGGTACACAACGGAGAAGGATTTGGGGTTGAAGCTAGAGCACTTAAGCAATGGAGTTTTGTTGGTGTTTTGCGTTTTTGAATTGTTTTGAGGCTGGTGTGAAGTTGATGATATCATATTCAGAAAATGGATTCCGATTAGTAAGGATTGTGACTGTAGACTGTGACTGTAAACTTTTATCTGTAAATAATTTGGCTGTAAAAACTGTGAATGTTACTGTATATATTTCTAAAAGTATGATTGATAATAAAAACTGTAGATATTATGACTGTTATTTTTAAATAATATAATTTAAACAAAAAAAAAAATCTAAAATATAACTTGTATATTTTTATGTTATTATGAATATAAATATGTAAAATAAATAAATTTTGTATTTTTATTAAATTTTTATTAACTGTAACACAAATAATTTTGAAAAATAAAAAATGTATATGGTAAATTAGATCTCAAAAGAAAGAGAACAACGTATTAATAATTAATTAGTTAAAATTTATTTGTTATAAAATTTATTTAATATGAGAGAATGGTTTTAAATTTTTTGGGGAAGAAGAAAATAGAAATTATGTTAGATAAATAAATTTTAGAGTAAAAAAAAATTTAAACATACCGAAAAAAAAAGAAAAGAAGAAAGAGAAAAGTGGAAAAAGTTAAAGAAAGATTACTGTAAGAAAAAATAAGAAATAAAGAAGAAAAATTTGAAAATAACTTTAGAGACTGTTAAAAATTATAACGCATTAAAAGTGTGACTGGCTATTTTTTTACTTTTAAGACTGTCGAACATGTTACAGTCTTCAGTCTTTGTACCAATCTCGGACAGGAGTGACACGTGGAAGATAAACCACATCTTTATTTTTTGGGCCTGGGCCATATGTAATTAAAGGTTTTGCTTAGTGGGTTAGAAAACTTGGTGGGAAAGTCAAAAGAGAGCGCACGTGGAAACCACCGATCCAAAACTTTAGCCGCTAAAACCGAAGGTCTTTTACCGAGTCAATCGCAAATATATGACAGAATTTTTTTTTTTTTTTTTTGAACCATTATGACAGAAATTCTTATCAATACGATTTTTCTCTTAATTTCATTAGTAATTCGATTATTTGTTTATAATCTTCTTTTTATTACGTCGTTTTTAGAAGATAATTTTTGTTTAGCAAATGGGTTTTAAAATATAGTACCAAGCAAGTAAGCGTAGCCCATTACGATTAAAGTGCTGGTTTGTTGTTGTAGAACAAAATGTGGTTTGTGAATAATGGTACTATATAACTCTCGATTAGAGTCTGATTCCCATCCTACATAAGTGTGGTGTATGCTTTCTAATTGTTTTTTTTTTGTCTTCATGCTTTCTAATTACAAGTTTAATAATATATTTAACAAAAAATAGTTTAATATAAGCAAACTGTCAAGCTTTTTATTTTCTATGTATCTTTCGTGAAACTCCACGACTAAAAACAAATTGAAAATATTTTAAAATGGAAAGTAATGTTTAAAATGCGAAACTTTTATTTTATGTTTAATCTTCAAAGAAGTTGAAGTTTTTACATGTACAGAAAATAACGTCAAAATAAATTAATGACAACAGCCGCCAAATTCTTAAACCTACAATTTAAAGCGCTACGAAGTAAAAATCATTTCTCAAAGTTTTTAAAAATAAAAGTAAGAAAAAGAAAATAAACAAGGCCTAATACTTAGGAGGTAGTTACAGTAAATCTTAAAACCCACCATATAACCTCTCCTTAATCCTCGCCAAAACCCTAACTTCTCTCTCTTTTTCATATTTATTAAGTGACAGTTAAGTTGAGGGATCACCAACTTACAACCTGAAAAGTCTTACCTCAGTGAAAAAAAGACAGAACAGTATCTTTGATCCTTTCATATATCCTCTCCTGTCCTTTCTTTCGTTTTCTGCGTTTACTCTCTAAGCTTAAACAGCAGCAATTAAAGCTAATTACCTCTAATTAATCATTTATTCAATCCTCTCCTTCTGTAACGGCTCCTGATTGCTTCGCATTCTTTCATTCCCTAAAACACTGATTCATCATCTCTATGGATTGCTTAAGCTACTTCTCCAACTCAGATTTCATCCAGCTCCAGGATTGCTTTATCCCTGATGTGGATATGATTATCCCTGAAACCGACACGTTCTTCTTCCAAGCACAACCGCAACATCAACCGCATCAGCCATTGCACCACGACGACGAAGCTCTTTCACCGTCTCTCTTCGGATTCGATTACTTGGACGATCCTTTCTTTGAGCCTTTTCTTCCTCCTCAAGAAACCTATCTCAGCAACCCTAAAACCGAAGTCTTCAATGAGTCACACGACTTAGATTCCTTCTTCCCCACGCCAAAACACCAAAAGCTCATTAACTCCAGCTTCCATTTCAACAACACTCACGACCCTCTGTTCCCAGCACCTAACCCTAATCTCTTTGATTCCTACGTCGCCGAAGCTTCTAAGTTTTCCGAGTTTCGAGTTCCTGATTTCTCTCCGGCGTTCAAGGTTGGGTGGAGTGATCAAAACGACACCAAGAAGCGAGAGCTCTCTTCTCAGAGCATCGCAGCACGGAAGAGGAGAAGAAAAATCACAGAGAAGACTCAAGATCTTGGGAAACTAATTCCTGGAAGCCAGAAACATAACACTGCCGAGATGTTTCAAGCCGCAGCAAAGTATGTCAAGTTCTTGCAGGCTCAGGTTGGGATTCTTCAACTGAGGCAGACCAAAATGCAGGTATTAGAGAAACCCTACTTAAATCCAAATCTATCCCCCGCATAATCTTCTTTCCACTATTCTACGCTTATGCAAGACTTGTTTTATTTTGCAGACGCATGAGAGCGCAAAGGTGGAAAGAGAAATGCGGTTTTTGCTTGCGTCACAAGAAATCCAGGAGAAGTTATCAACAGAGGAAGTTTGTGTGGTTCCAAGGGAAATGGTTCAAGTCTTAAAAGCCGAAGAATGCATCTTGAGAAACCCTAAGATTTCTCGAGACATTAACAAGTTGTTGTCCACAAATCTCATGAATTAGTTTTAATTTCACACAGATGCTCGAATGTCCAAATCGTTGAATTTGTTGGGTTGTGTATCTGGTTTCTAGCTAGTTATTCCGTGTACTAGATTCTATGTTAGCTAGAGTTTAACCATTGGTTAATTTTCTTCTTAACTAATGTAAATCAGTTTGATTTTATTTAATACTAGGCTAATCTGTTTTTCGTTTCCTCTAGAAAATTTAATTAATTAATAAATTGTTTTTGGTTAATTTTACTTTAGATTTCAAGTAAACGAGAGCACATAATTTTGCTGCTTGTGCTTATATGATCACATGTACAAGCTAGTTCTGCAAATAAATTATGAAGATATGCAAAAAGATTTAAGATTTAGGAAAAGTTTCTACAAGTTTAAGAAGAACCGAAGAGGTCACCAAAATTAGGTTTAAAATAGTTTTTAATAAAAGTTTCTATATGTAGAATTAGCGATCCCTTGTGATGTTTATTAAAAACTATTTATACCTAATTTTGGTGATATTTTATTATTTTTAAAAAGTTTTCAAATATTGGTAAATTTAAAACAAAAATCAATTTTAACAAAAAAACATATTTCTTATTTTTAACACACAAAAAACTATTTCTTATTTTTAAAACTCAAAGAATTTTTCATAATTGTTTACGCTTTATTCTGATCATTTATACTTCTATATGGGCCTGAAAGAAATAAATCCGGCCTCACGTATTTCATTTTATGAAGCTTATATAACCTTATTCAATGAAATTTTTGGTTTAGCTGTCATTTATTGAAAAAAAAACGAACCACTGAACTATTATAGTGTTGACGTAATTACTACTCAGTCAAAAATAAAGTTTTAGTCAATGATATAAATCATATGATATGATAGACGTCAAGCTTATCCCCTCCTTTATTTCCATGTCGTAAGTCGTATCTTCGATCATACTAGACGACTAGTACTAGTCATAGTTCTTTGATTTAACTCTTTAGGGTGTTAAATAATTACTCTTAATTATTTGCAAACCATCGTTTTCATAGATGCATGCTCTCTTTAATTGATTTGAGGTAACAAAGAAACTACTCTAAAAAGCTTATTGACGGGACTTGCCACTAAATTTGTCATATTAGTTCTTACGTCTATTTTCTCATATTATCTACATTTGAACGAGGTCAATAGCACTTTTGAGATCAGTCCTAATTTGTTTATACAAACCATTTACAATTCTGAAAAATGATTTACAAGTATATAAATTCATAAAATAAATGTGAAGATTTCGTGAACTAGTCCGGTCAAAACAATATAATTCTAGTCGACTATAGAGTGACACATATTCGCTAACAAATATTATAAAACTACATGTGTGCATGGAACTTTTTTTAATATATTTGAAAATTTTGACTATCGATTGGTAAAATAAACATAGTAAATCATTCTAAAGTTATGATTTAAATTTTTTGCATATACACACACATACATATATTGTCGATTTATCATTAAACGAACTAATTTATTAGTAAATCCGCATGGTTTTAACTTTTAAGATGAATGAATAAGCTTTTGTAGTTTTAAATTGATGGTACTTCAGGATTCATGTTATTTACCCAATCATATACCTTTCCTGCCCACCAAAAAATTTCTACAAACAAGATATGGCTTCTCTATGGCCCATCATGAAAACGGAAAAATAAAAACATCGAAGTGTAAATTATAAATGTTAGCAATGAGATGTTACGACTGTTCTTTTCCCCACTCGTCAAATCAAAACAACTTATTTAGGAAACAAAGAGTTGTGATGAATTTTTCTTTCTATCAATCAGAGTGGATGGATGATATGACTTAACTTAAGGTCACTATTCCCATTATATTCTCACACTCCCTCAAAATCCCACATCAAAATGTTAGTACTTATTACCCTTTTTTCTTTTGTATTTTATTTCTATTTATACAATCACCACAATTTTGTTATAATAAATCTATATACTTAATGGTTGACCAAAAAGAGAAAACAAAACTAATCTTGTGGCCACAACTGATCCAACAACGCGTGTAGTCTCTACGTTCGTTCACCCATAAGCATTTTCAGATGATGAAACTTAGGCAGATATATTGGCTCAATTCAAATCAGTTTTGGAAATAACTTTACTAATTAGACGTACTTATGCAATATATAACATCTACATAGTAATTACAGATTTAATTTATACATATATATATATAAAAGAATTTACAGATTTAATTTTTAGTATACGTATTTCAATTGAGAAAACTGGCAAGAGAAAACTGAAAAAGACAAAGATGGAATTAAAGTTGACATACACAAACACACGGTTAGATCGGCCGCGTAAATAACGCGGGACAGTCTATTGATAAAGGCTGCTCTGAGTGTCTGACACTCTCATGTATCAATTCATATAATTCAGTTATAAATAAAATAATAGTATTTTGTCCCAAAAAAATAAAAATTAATAATAGTATATATACCTTATACATTTAAATGATATATATGTGTGTGATTATTGATTAGAACCAAAAATATACAAATGTGTGTGAATGTGAAACGTGCTGCTTGCTTTTTTTCTTTTTTACTTTATGATAGTCCCCTTTTTTTTAACCAACAACACAATGGTATTAATTTGTCTTATGATACAAGGGTACATACTATACACTAATGGGAGAATCCAATATGATATAAGAGAAATAATAGATCCATGGGTCTTTTCTCATATCAAACCAATCAAACAACTCATATGAGATAAAATCTAACGCAGTACCTCACATACATGATACATGTAAAAATATGATATACGAAAAGAATCTGACGATCGATGGATTAATTGTATTTCAATCCTTAATGAGAAAAAGGAATGATGCCCTTTTATATTACTGATGTATGTAAATTAATGCGTTCTTTGGTCTGTCAATATTCTCGTAGGAAAAAATAACAATTATGTATTTTGATGGATTAACAAGAACGGTGTAATATTTTAGTAAACAAAGAAGTAGAGTAGCTGATGTTAATATAAAAAAGAACCTCAAGTATATATAGTAGCATGCAGTGTAATACAGTATATTAACAATTTCTGTTTCTGCGACATGCTATTAACCGTTTTTTTTTTTTGCGAACTAACTATTGACCATTGGTATCTACTTGCAAACAAAGGTGTGACAATTCTTCAAAGTATATGAATGCATGTACATCAGAAAAACGACGAATTAATAAAAGACAACATTGTATGTATATTAAGCTCTTTTGCCTTTTCAGAATATAATAATATCACTATAGTGTTATTCTAAATTATTTTTTCCGTTAAGAAAGCCGTGAAACTAGGGCTTTTCTCCCTACCTTTCAAGATCGCCCACATGCATGGTCTGATTGAGAAATTATTCTTACACTATATACAGGCTATATAGATACATATAGATCCAAAATATGCATTACCTCCAATCATATGCTCATAGTAACGTACTAAACCAAATTGCTAACATGATGGGGATCATACGATGAAAATATTTGTTAACTTGAAGTTATAAAATATTGTAAATAATATATAGTCATGTTAGTATTATTATTATTTAATTCAAGTTTTTAATGAATATATATATATATATATATATCATCAACTACATATGTTATATTTGTTTATTTATAATTAACAAAACATAAATATTAACCAACTTATGTGAACCTTTTTTACTGGGTACTATATTACTATTTAGTGGATTTGTCTACTGAGCATCTCTAACCCTACTATATTTTCACCTCCAAATGCTATTTTAGAGTAAAATTCTCTCCAACCATACTCTATTTTTAATTTCAAAATGGAGTAAACCTAAAGTCTACTCCATATTTGGAGTAGATCTAAACTCTTATCCATTTTGAAGTTAGACTTTTTTATTTGCCAATCAATCCTTTAGATTTAAAATAATTATATTTTATACTATTTAATATTTATAAAAATATTATAAAACTGATAATTATAAATATTTAAACACTGCAATTATTCCTAAAAAATTACAAAATATAATAAACTTTAAAACACATAATAAGTGATAAATTAAGATAAACAATATAAATAAATTTAAGACAACAGATACAAAAAACATTAATGATAAATTTTTTAGTAATAGTAATGTTTAAATAAAAATTGCATATGCTTTTTTGTTATGTTATGTAAGTTTCACCATTTGATAAATATTTAAGTTATAGTTTTTGAAAGAAATTGTAAATATTAAAATAAGTGAGATTTATTTGTAAATTTTAAAATTAAAATATATTTATAATAAAATCAAATAAGAATCTATTTAAAATATTCTTTTTTTGAAGTAGAAAATGGAGAAATACATTGGAGCAAAACACGACTCCATTTTGGAGTTACTCTATTTTGGAATAGAAAATAAAAAAATACATTGAAAATTGTCTTAGAAAAAGAATATTGAAATGATTTGAGGTAAACGTAAAATCCATTTTTTATACAATTATAATCGAAATTAGAAATACAAGTATGCATAAATCTTCTAACCAAAAATGTAGCTAGCAATAAAAATATGGTTTTATCATAAAATCATGTAAATTTTCTATTTCATAAGTGTTGGAAAGAAAGAACTTTTAAGAGTGATGGAGAAGGTGTTTAAAAATTTGAAAGACAAAGGAACAAATTTAAAAAGAAGAAAGTTTTAGAACTTAGAGAGCTTAAGAACTTCACTTAACTTCCCTTATTATTTCTTTTAGCTTGTTAGTTACAAAATGAGAGAGGAGGTAGCTATTTATAGCCTCCAAAGTACAAAATATCTAAAATATTTTATTCCTAAATCTAGAGAATTCTATCTTAATATCTAAATTATTTTACAACAATTATCTAGAGAAATCTCTAGATATTTATTCTCTACAACTCTCTAGAACATTTTAAGGAGGTGGAAGTGTTGATTTTTCTAGAGAAAACTCTAGAATCTTTGATTAAGCATAATTGGGTTTTGGCCCAATTATTATTGGATCATTAACCCAATATTTAAGCATGATCCAAAAT